ACCGATTGCTTTGGTGGCAAACTTGAGAACACCACCTTGTCAAGAATGATCAACGAGCTTCATGTGTACAAAACACGCATAGATGGATGAAAATACTAACCTCGAAAACCCGCTTCAAACTTTCAATAACGCTCATCTCTCTTTCAACTTTACTCTAGAATCAGAGTCTGACTTGAACTTCGACTTCCTCTGTATCCGGCTGCAAAAAAAATGACATCTCAGTTCAAAAATTTATTGACAGAAAGTCTACTCAAAGTGGGTAGTTTATCACTTTCCAAAGTTATTTCCTCTCGAGTGAGAAGAAGAACCCTATCAATTTTCCTTAAGAATAAGATGAATGTGCATGGAAAACAACATAGAACATGAATTAGAGAATCTGTGGGAATTCCTAATGAAAAATGAATACCCACTGAAATTTAGGGATAAGAATATAAAGCCAAAAGTTATTGCAGAACACGAACATGTTACTTCGAAAAAGATTTTACTTCTGAACCTCGAGTCCAACGATGATAATGTTACAGATATCCTCAGGAAGTGATAGTCAAAACCTATAAATCAAACAACTTTTGCGCCAATCTCAGAACCAAATTCTTCTATTAGGAACTCAGTCATCAGTATACGAAGGACAAGTTGGACAGCTGGTCAGTATCAGTGTGTGTGTATCAGTTTACTTGCTCATTTGAAGCTGAGTATATTGGTTGTACCATGCACTAGCTCGTGAGACATGCCGGTGAGCAGTATCCAGCCAAACTGACATTGGAAAAACGGAAATGCATCCTCGGCTCTATTACAAAACACGTAGTAAACTCAGGACACTTGGCTCTTTTTGATAAGTCTTTCAAAATGTTGTATAAAGAGCAATCGAACAACATGCAAAAGGAGTAAAGATAAGATGTCTGGGCATAGTCAGAGCATCAGCAGTTTAAAAGCTCATAACCTCAGTTTCCATTCAAAAGACATACACAACTGTATTTACCATCGCCATTGTAAAGAACTAATCATTCTAGACATTCTCCGTATGATGTAATTTTATTTTATTCTCTGGTCATTTGTTTATTTCCCTGTTCTGAATGCTAATACATTCTGGGTAACTTTCATTTTTCATGCAACTTACTTCGACTTTTGATCGATATTTATAGCAAGATTTTCTATACTTTCTTCTATTTCAACAGCTAACAGACAGTTTGTCGAAAAGAAAATTTTTCTGGGCACTACAATCATCTCTTGTTTACTGTGATAAAATGGGTTTACTTAAATATTTGATGTTTGGAACAGGTTAGAATACAGTGCAGAAATAAAACGGTCATACTTCGAAGACAGATATAAACATATCACTACAGTTGAGAATAAGTGATATTCATATCTTTGTTAATCCAAGGCGTAGATTTGAGTCGCTCAATGGTCAGTTAAATATAATAATATGAATATTAGGTATATCACTGAACATGAGACAAATAATGTATTTCATTTTTTGGACTTAAGACTTCAACAAAGAACGGATAGGTCACGTCAGAGATTTGTCTACAGAAAAGAAACATGTAGGGGACAGTATCTCCATCTCAACAGTTCTTGACCCATAAGTTTTAAGCAAGGACTGGTTAAGACGTTATTTCACGGGACTAGGCAACTTTGTTCATCAGACAAACTGACTGAAGAAATTCAGTCCATTAAGAGGTATCTAAAAGAGAATGGTTACCCTAAGTGAACTTGATAATCCCGGGAAGAATTAGTGTTGCGCCATTTGATTTTCATGGGGGACGAACTCATAGATAAAGTTAATAGAAGAATAAGAACTGCATTAAAAATCACCTTTGCAGTAGCTAAATTAGTCTCCTTTATGCAAGACAGTATTCACTTCAAAAGTCAGCAGGCTTCTGTCTCATATCACCTCAAACTGTATCTACTAATTTATATGCACATATCAAACCATTTACATTGGAAGGACAGAAAGGAGGACTGAGACTAGTTTTCATGAACACCTTCCGAATAAGTTAAGCTTAAATAAGCAAAACGTTCCCTTGCTAAACATCTCATGGATGCGGGACACGTACAGATCTCGAAGGCGTTTAAAATAATTAACAAACAAAACAATGGCAATTCACAGAAACAATTTCCATCAGAAGAACTAAAGCAAACCTGTACACCCAAAATAAGCAAACTGTTAGCCTGTAACTACTACGATAGCTATTGATTAACTGTGTTATCTAGCATAAATCCTTTCTCAAAAAAATTTATTTGTAAATTTTTGTACTTTCGATTTCACAATCAGCTTTTGGTGACTAGGATGAAAATAAGATCTAGTTAACAACAGGGTCTCGTAGCTCATACGATAGAGCAGCACGTCGGCAACTCGGAGGTCGGTGGTTCGAATCCGACCAGGTTTTCATCTCACCTTCAATCATCGTTAAGTATCCAATGAAACAAGTCTGCCAACACCATGACTATCTCAGATAGTGAAACTGATAATTTCGATCTCATCTGACCCTAACCAACTTGACCTTAAACTGTGTAAGGATTTTAACCTTGCAATCACATCATTAACTCATCACATATACTCACATATTGCTTTCCATTCCATTTTTCGATTGATCTCATGTAGGAAACTGACTTAATAAACACAAACTATTTCATTTGGTTCAATCTGAAGGCTTTTGAAGATCTATTAATTGATTTTAGGTTAGAATTCAGCATGACTGACATCAGTTAAAGAAACATTGGAAACCTGGGGGCACCGGACAGCCATTTCGCCCTAGTATGAGACCCATCATCAGTGCGCACCCGTGAACCCCCCGGAGATCGAACCAAGAACATTCATGTTCATTTGGACTTCCTTAATGTGCATCAATTAATTCATTACCTTCCATGTATGAAACGTCATCTTGGTAAGTGAATCATATGAATTGTACGTCTCTGTTTATATCCTATAGTTTTTATAGCGTGTACGCATTAAAAAGAAGACGACAAAATACAATGGTTTCATCGTATTCTACACAATTTGTTGTTCTTACTTTGCCAAATCTTCAGCAGGAACCTAATATGGTGATCTGAAATCGAACTAAACTAAACCAAACTATATGAGTCAGTCAATGACTTGTATTATTCCAAACCACTCAAGTGAATTCTAAGTAAATAAAACAATTCAGTAGTATATTCCATTTCTGTAGCAGATTGATGGCTGAAGGTGAAACGATGATCTGGTTTGCGACAGGATATGAATTCGACAACCACTCATTCTTTTTTCCACCGTTATTTGAATGGGAGGCGTTATGTTTCAGTTCGGTTTCCGTGATCAGTCGTCAATTAATCAGTATACCCTAAAATACAATTTCATAGTATTTCATCACAAATTCATCTTTTTATTGAGTGACCGTGAAGACCACTCTGGCAACGACTGAAGTAACCAACTAAGTTTTATATTTTCATGAAAAATAACCATCCCATAAGACTGGTTATCTCAACAGTCGCTAGGGTGGCTTTCAGAGTCATTCCCTTCAGTGTGAAAGCAGTTTCGTACAATGTACCTTATTGATAAAGATGAATGGTCGAATTCTATGCATCACATTCATTTTTAATATTGATTTACTCAATATCATTATCTCATTTCCCTTCTGATTTCTGAATAACTTCAGACACTTGCACTTCCAGCCTGAGATCAACTCAACCTGACGGCTAGTGTAAATTGTTTGACCTCGATTCTTCGCACCTACACAATCTGCCAGCATTTAATGGCCCTAAAGTACTTTTTCAGCATTGATGGTAATGGACAATTAGATGAGCAACCCTTACGACTCCAGCTGCCTATTTGAACTTGCCTTTAATGAGCAATAAGGTTATCGGCCCTCTAATTGACTTCCTAAAAGTGATAAGCATAACTCTTACATTTCAAAAGCGCTGTGTCACCATGCCGAATGAGCTAAAGCAATTGACTAGCCACATCGGTTATTCAATTCAACCACTGTTACATATTTCGACTGGAAAGGCAGATTTTCACAAAATACAGAAGTCTAGTTGGTTACTTTACTTGTTGCTGGGGCGGCTTTTTAAGTTGTGCTTAAAGTAGTCCTCAAAGTCAGTCCTAACAACTCAAATTCAAACCTCGGAGCTATAGGGTGACTTTAAAGGCCACCTTCACAACTGATGAGACAGTCAATTACATTCCTGTATTTCATGGAAAAGTACTTTTGTAGGCAAAACACCGAAGCCTGATTGGTCATTTCAATAGTTGTTAGGGTGGCCTTTAAAGTCACCCGTTGAATTCACTGTTCGGCTCAGATAATATACAGAGAATCAAGCCCATACTAAATTTCCCTATGCATTACAGGATTAGAGTGAACTCATTTCCTCAAGTTTATTCTACTTATTTCAATCAGAGAGTGGCGATAGAAATTATTGAGTGACCTTCAAGGCCACCTTAGCTACTGCTGAGATAACCAATTATGTTCCTCTATTTTATGAAAACTTCCTTTCTAGGCGAAATGCCGAAACCTGATTGGTTATTTCAGCTGTTGGCAGGGTGGTCTTCAAAGTCACGAGAAGCATTCAGTCGGGAAAATGAAACGTCTTGAATCTCTACACATATCGAAAAACACTTCTGAAATATGCGACGTACACAACTAGTCTCAGTTCAGTGATAAATATTTACATCATTTCCTCGAGTTGTTAAGCCCATATGTACTGAGGCCAGTCAGTCACTGTAATTTACGGATGATTGAGTATAGACATCACCGACTAGTCCACCCTCATTTAGACGCCAATTCGCTGATGCATATCCTAACTAATGTATACTGACTGAACCAGATGAATTATTTCGAAATGTAGCTGGTATGATTCAAGTTTGAAAAAAGTGATTAAGTTCGCTTTATCGTGAAACATTTTCTACTTCATTAGTGAATACGTTCTGCCCCGGAGCACTAACGCCCATATTTGGTAAACCGATCCCACACACATTTTTAGAGATTTAAAGCGTAACAGTCAGTATGGAAAGTGAAAAGCAAAACGTTCAAATTGTAAGATTCAATATTATCACAAAACACCAAACAAACAAAATTAAAAAAGATATCATGGTGTAGCGTTCATAAAAATACATATACAGTTTTAGAGTAGATACATAATCTTTAAAAAAGCAAAGCGTTATGATTCCCCATATCATGAATGTGTTATTTATTCGTAGATGTGACTACTGGCCACCGCCCCATAACCTAAAAGTAGGACATAACGAACAACTTGTACGTAATTCTCGAAGATGAATTTACCATATTATCTCTATTTTTATCAATATTACAACAGTTTAAAGTCCGTTTGCTTGAGTTGAACAACCTTTGAAAATCCTGTTAATCACGTTTATTTAAACCGATACGGAAGCAAATGGCATAGTGTTTGAAATACATTGGGTGAAAATTGCATGATTGATATTTCCCACCTCAATACTATAGCGTTAGGATGATACTGTTTCTAGCATACAGCTTTCAAATAATTCCAGTTGCCAGTAATCTCTAAGAATGATTATAATGATTATTGATTAGAGTGTAGTGTAACTGTTGAGCAACAATCTCTTTAGTTCGACCACAGAACACCCATTTCCGTTCCATTCAAGGCAAACCATAGATTTTTGGAAAGTCAAATGACAAGAAAAAAACTGCGTGATGACAGTTTGGTGATAAATGAATAAACTTGAAATAGCGACGCATGCCATTTGAAAGTAAATGCTGCCATGATGTATAATACCATTCTGACTACTCACGACACTTAATTCCTGTTAGTTGACTAGAAATCTGAAGTCGATAACATATATTTCCCGTATTCATGATATTCATATCAGTATTCCTTTACTACACATTGTTATACTGGCTACTGAAGATAGCGGTTCTTGTCAAGCTCCCAAGTGGTACAGTAAAGTTAAAGCAAAGAAAGATGTTGGTGCATTCGCCAAGTTTCAAGGTGCAGTGAAGAAAATAAAAAGGAATTGGCTAGTTTCTCAGATCCAACTGGACGTCTGTGGGGGATTAAGTGACTTCAAGGCATTATCCATCACGGAGCGATACCGGTTGGAGAACTACTCGAAACCCAGGAGCACTAGACCATTATTTCATCCTAGTAAGAGGCATCTCAGCAGCAAGAACGTATAAAATTGCGGTTCAGCTGGTAAAGCCGTGGACAGGAAACCCGGAGGCCGCTGGTAAAAACAATTTGTATTAAAGCTTTGAAAATATAAGGAATCTCTTTCCGATCAATGGCAGGAAGTTTTATTGATATTACAATATCGAACGTGCCAAAAAGTGCGTTTAACGTGTGCTAATAACTGCATGAAATGACTTGAGGTTAGGCGGTCTCCTCACCAATCTAGGCCATTTAGTTTCACATTCATTGAATCCCTAAACTTTGATATAAGAAAGCATAAACCTTTGAGATAAAAACAGTCACTAACCTTTTGGACCGAACAAGGCCTTGTAACAGGGATTCTGGCAATAAGGTTTGCCTTCATGCTGAAACATAAATAAAATAAAATCTGCATTAGTAGTAGAATACGTATCTCAGAATGCTGTCTTTCGCATTGAAAGTAGTACTATTGTAAGAAACGACAAGACTAGGACTAAGGACAGAATGTTTATTATGACATCTTGTACAGTAATGATGAAATATGGTCCCAATTCCTATTAAAATAGTCATTTGCACAATGTGTTTCATGTCCTCTTCTGCTTTTATCTGAAGTTGCTCTTAATACGCTTAGATTGCCTCTTGCGTTCCTCTGTGCAGAATATTTACCCGGTGCTGGTAATTGCCTATGATTTCTGCCAACCTCCCAACGTATACTACTTATATCCATTCTTATCAGTAGCTCCCACTACACTATCATACTGTGCATCTGGTTGAGTTGTAACGGAAACTATACCTAACTTGACTGAAACATGGTTTTCTATTCTTTAAAAGGTTTGAAGTCATAAACACACGAATTCATTACAGTCGATTACAGATAGTAAGTTAAGCTGCTTCATGTGAAATACGTCAAATGTTAAAACGTCACAAGTAATGGCCTTGACCTCCCCAAATATTAGACTATTCTGAGTGTGATAAGTTACGTATCAACTACTTTTTCTGATACTTGCACATTACGCTGCATATATTGGTGATAAATGGAAAAGTAAGAGTATTATAAGTAAATTAACCAACTTTCGAAATTGAGTGCAACAGTCACTGTAGAAGATTGAACCTTCGTCTAAAGACTGAAGTAAGGTGACGCAAAGAATTACATGGCATTATCCAAGAAATAAGAAGAATAGATACAGAACTTGGCAAAGGCCAAAAAGAAACGTATATGTAACATGCCTTTTTCTACCAATGTTCTGAAGAGAAGACAAAGTGTGACTGCGACCGGCTTTGAATCTAAGCCACATGTGTTAATGCCTAAAGCTACAAATATCCTTCATCCTGTGGTTCCATCTCACACTCTCTTACAGAAAACTCTAGCACCGATCAACAATGATCGAAGTATAATTTACTGGAACGACATGTACAAGACTGCTACAGCGGGAGCTTGAAAATGAATTTACTACATCATGCAAAAGCACACGTCATCGCACCTGAAAATTATCTTCACAACAATGAAATTACATAAAAGTAATCCTAAAGAGAAACTGGTGACTGCATACAGGGTCATCACAAGGAAACGTTTGATCTCACGGAGATACGTCAAATGTGTTGAAGTATCTCACACTCCACGTTTACGGACAGACCAGGGTCTTAAGGATGCCAAAATGACCAAAATTAACAAATGTAGCTTCAACTTAAGGTACGCAAAGATAGTTTATCTGTAACGCCTCTTCGAACATCTTGACATCAAATGAATCAGAATTGAGGGGAAGCTTAGACATATGCTACTGCTAATCTTGGGCAGTTATCTGAATAACGGTGGTGTAAGTCGCATATTAAAGTCACAGTGGTAACCCCTTATAGATTTGCTTTCCTTAGTATAAAAACCGGGAAAACTGTATGACCCGCTAAAATATTTTGGTCAAAATGGACAGGACTTTATTTGGCTCTTAGTCAGAACAACCTAACACAACTATGAAAATAATGTTAGATTTACCCACACCACCGAGATATTTGACAATTAAAAAATGCAAACTTATCTGCAAAAGTGCTGGTTTGACAGTACCAACAAATGAAAAAATAAGACCCTGAGTTTCATATTTTGTACTTCGTGCAAATACGTTTCAAAGCTAAGTACGTTATTGATACATGATTATGTAGGAAGTCAATTTATCGACTGTATTCTTATGGCTCACATATACTCTGAACAGGCTATATTAGTCTTTACAGCCTTCGAAGTGAATCAATTATCCAGAAGGGCAAAAATTTTATATGCAATGCTGAAATGTCCCACACTGGGACGAAACACACGTTCAAAGTCCACCAGCAGATATCAGCCTGTGATGAAAACTCCTCCGAACTTTAACAACATATGAGAAAATTAGTGTAACCAAATGCCTAAGTAACAGCATTAGTGTGAGAATGCGGATGCATATTTGAAGCTAAAACTGAACTGATCTGACAAGCGTTTAGTCCAGAGTAAAGGATCTTTCAAAAACCAAATACATTCTCTTGAAAATATCGAATACTCAACGTAAACATGATCAAAAGTGCAGAAAAATATGAACAGAATAATCCTCGTAACAATCAACGATATGTTACTATGAAACCATGACTGTAAACGTCCAAACACTTTTCAAGCAGAATTAAAACTGAAACTCAACGTACTTAAACAAATAAAGGTATACTAGTGTGCTTACTTCGAAGGACATTTGTGTTAGGGGAATGATGAAGAGCTTTCTAGCAAGAAGCTAGATTAAAACCTGACTACTCATCATACCTGACCATCTTGGAACCGGTCAGTTGAAGAACCTAGTTGTTAGTCCTATCACTTTATTACTGGTTAGTTAAAAACCAACAGTCCACCTTTTATCATTCCCGTGGTTGTGGTGATCATAACTCTCTCACCACTCTACAATACACTAAGATTAAGGTTAGCTATCCATCTGGTTAGAAAAGAAAGTCTGGTCAGTTGTAGTAGTACGAAAAGTGATTTTGTTCCCAGTGTCAATAAAATGTATTCACCAGTACGGTTCCCGTCTGCTATCCTGTCAATGTCCGAAGACTGTATTCAGTGATCAAACGTACATACCGACGTAAAACGATATGTAAGAAACAAGGAAGTAAAAGTGCACAGTGATATGCAGGTTCTGGTCACTGTGGAACAGTAAGTACCATCGCATCGCATCCAACGTAACTGACACTACAGCCAAAATGCAGGTGTAATTCCACTTTGTTTAAATTTATCACAGTGAAACAGTATCCTTCACTGGATAACCTTCCAGATAAATTATTGCCCACATCCACACCAACTGACGACACAAATTTGTTACAGTGTGACAACTAGTAAACATACTGATGAAATGGAATTACAATCTACCACACTAGCCAAGTTTTACTTCTATGTCAATAAAACACAGGTCGCAATCTCCATGGAGGGGATAGTAAAATAGTACATGGTATAGAAAAAAACTACTTCAGGAGGAAAAATTACTCCAATAAAATTATCCTCATCACAATTTAATTTCCTGTTTACAACCAAATGATGAAAGTTTGTTCGCTTACTTCACAGTGGGAACCTGGAGTTAGCGTTTTCTTGCACCTCTCACATTTCAAACATTGACGATGCCAATCATGACCAAGTGAGCTGACTCGTTCAGCTGTTCAATAAAAACCGCTTAATTGCACTTACCAAAGTAGACTTCTTTAAGACAGGCAGGACACTTCATGTCAAAGAGAAATAATATGTTGAGGAAATAAGAACGACCTTGAAACGAATACTGTAACAGTACTATGTAAAACTAGTTTTTTGGTCTCTGGCTTGTGATTATATTGCTTATCAGGTTCAATGATTTTGACAACCAGTCACATGAGTCAACATCAGTCGGTCTCAAGGTTACTGAAGTCCAATCGAAATCCTATTTTCAAACATTTTTAATCCAATGGCTGTTGTATAATGAGAGGGGGTGGGTGACTAATGTAAATCTCAAACTTTTAGTTTAGAAGAATCAATACAATCGCTTTATCTTTAAAGCGTCTGTCACACATCCTAGTCTTGGTTACCACAGCTGTTGACAGACACTAAAGTAACACGCACATAAGCAAGGCAAAAATACAAACTAAATTATTCTACAGCGTTATATTCTCTTTGTACACAGATTATTTGAGAGATTAAGACACATAAAAAGCGACTGTATGAGCTTAACTTCAACCGATTAAATTACTACAATTTATTGATATGCTTCTAATTCCCTGTTTCTTTACTGGGTCTAATTGTTCGACCTCTATTGGCATATGGACTCGTATGCGGATGCCTCAATGTAGCCTGAATGTTAATTATGGTAATTACTTTAAACTTTAGGAAATACACTTAGTTCACGGTCAATAATTTTGTGCCATTTCCTACTTGTGTTTCCTGTCGTCTAATCAAAATTTATGATGAATTGACCCACGTGATTAGTTGCACGAGATCAGAAAGTACTGTGAAGCAGAGTAAACTGGGGAAGGGTTGCTTTATTTCTATGATGAGCAACAACGCCATCCAGAGTACTGTAACGGAAAATGAATCAATCTGTATGGAGTGATTTTGTCTCACCGTGTTCCTGTCTTTAAAATCTTTAAAGGACGCCTTAAATGAGCATGAGAAGTACACATACAGGCACTACGTTGCGTGAGATTCACATTTTAAGGTGACCGAAGATCCTACGTCGATTTTGTTTATTGGAAGGCTAATAGACGCCGGTTCAAACTCTGAAGGTTCACAACCTCATAAGTCGACTCACCTTTCTTGCTTAGTATCATTTGTATGGCCTAAACATCGCCCACACGGTGATTCGATCGTACTGCAGCAATGCTACGAAGACACCTATTATCAGCACCCTGTAACCACTTACATCTTTTACTTTTAACGCCTATGTTTCAGCCATCCAATGGGACAGAATGGACTGCAGTGTAGTATACTCGTCCTCTGAAAGACTATTATTATTTATTATTTATCTCTTGGGTTCCTAGTGGAAAATAACGCTTCACTAACACGTCTCAGTTTCACTCTCTTCTCTCTAGTCTTCTCAACCTGGATTCATGACTGCCCACAGGCTTTCATTCCTTCCTCACACCATTTCTTCCATGCAACCCTCGTCTCGGACGCCCAACTTGTCGTTTCCCCTTTCCTCTCCACTCGACGCCATGGGGTGATGCGTGATGTCCCCAAACTGTCTTCTCAGTGTATATCCAATCCAATCCATTTCCACTTACTTTTGCATATTTATTGGGCTCCAAGTTCTTGGCTGATTCGTTGCCAGTCAGAGTTGATTGTTGCTTATTCTTTCTGGCCATCTGATCTTGACTGTTGAGAGTAGGCAGCTATTGATGTATGTCTGTAGTTTGTTGGAAAAGCCTTTCGTAACGCCCGAAGTCTCTCAACCATCATATAGAAGTACTGACTTGACTGAATCACTGTTGAGAATCCGGATCTTGTTCTTTATGCTGAGTTGAATGCAGTAGATCTCCACACTGATTTCACACTAGTTAAGGCCTGTCTCGCTTTCCTGATCCTGGCTCTGACGTCCTCATCTGTGACTGTTCCACCTGTAGTTGAAACGATGCTGCCTTACCTAGGTAGGTAGGTGAAAGAGACTACTTCCTTTAGGTTTCTCCCTTTGATGGTGATTGGTGCTTGTTGTTGATGGTGTTGTTGGTTGGGTATCTTCATCACCTCTGTCTTCTCTACATTCACTTGAAGTCCCGTCTTCCTTGGCTGCCTTACCTCTTCTGTCAACTTGTTAGTTTTCGCCTGTAGATCTTCGAGTTTGTGCGACAGTAGACATGAATCATCATGGGCGAAATCCAAACATTCTGGGGTCCTATCATCTGTACAGGGAGTGTATCCCTCTTTTCTCGCTCCTCACAGTTTCTTGCATGACCCAGTCGACCATAATGAGGAAGATGATCGGTGATAGTAGGCAACCATCTCTTACTCCTGTCTTCACTTCACAAGCGTCACTGAGCTTTCAGTTGTGAATCACCTGCCATGTGACGTCTTCATATAGTTGTTGAATGAGACTGATAAAGGTTTGTGGTACTGCATAGTGTTGAAGTAACTGCCAAATCACTTCTCAGTCAACGCTGTCGAAGGCCTTTTCAAAGTCGATGAAGTTGAGGTAGACTATTGACTGCCATTCTATACCCTGTTCAATGATGATGCGTAGCGTTGCATTTTGATCCAAACATGATTTGTTCTTCCTGAAGCCAGACTATACAGGTAGGAATTATGAATGCAGCGCATATTTTAGTCTCTCTAGGATGATGCAGCTTAGTATTTTGCTTGGTGTGGACAAATGCATGATCCCACGCCAGCACTTGTTCTGACAGAGACTTAGGTCTCCTTCTTCGGGAGTTTGACAAAGTAGCCCTCCTTCCAATCAATAGGCAGCTACCTTTCCTTCCTTCCTTCATCCCTTCCAAACATTCCAATAATGAGGTGAGCATATCCCCTGTTGTCTCTGTGTCTATTTTCAGTGTTTCTGGTGAAATTCCATCTGGTCCTGCTGCTTTCCCGGATTTCAGAAACTGCATGGTGTTCACGACTTCACTTCTGCTTTTGTCGAAGGCTTATGTTCACTAATAGTTCTTCGGCTGGGCTGCTGGTGGTATTTCTGGATGAATTGCAGGTGGTGGTGGTGGTGTTGGTGGTGGTGACGGTCGATTCAAGAGTTTTTTGAAGTGGTCAGCCCATCCTTTCGTTTGTTTCTCCTCTCTCCTCCGTTACTAGATCCCTTCACTATCTCTCATTGGTTTCATCTCCACTGATCTCTTCCCTTCCAGATAGTAACCTGGTTATTTGATACAATGTTATCAGGTCTCTCCTACCAGCAGTCTGTTCTGCTTCACTTGCCAGTGCACTCTTCCTCACTTATTTGACCAGTGTGGTGGTTTATAGGTTGTGTTCACTTCCTCTTTTCTTTGTTCATGCCTGCACTGTACTGCACTGGTTCATATTCTGCTTCACCCTCTTACTCTTCCTCCTCTATCAGCTTCTACGTATACATGGAGATCCATTCCTTGTCTTATTTCCTTCCATTCCTAACACGGTTATGCAGGTTTCCTTCCACGTCGCTTTCAAAGAGTTCTAGTCTTCTTCCACACAGGTTTCCTCAGAGGTGTTGCCTAATGTCTCCCATTTTGTCCTGATGACTGACTGACGTGAAGAGGTCCTTTACAGTGTCATCCTTCAGTCTCTGTTCTGGGTGTTGAACTTGAACTGTGGTCGTCTATCATCAACTTCTGTGAAGACTTTCAACCTGGTTTCGAAGGCAAGCTCCTTGCACTAAATAGTGAGTGGTGTCAACCTACATCTGCTCCTCTCCTTCATCTGATCTGATCTGATCTAATCTTGTGTCCAGTAGGCTGACTGTGTCTCCATCTCCACTTGCTTCACATTGAGATGAAGTCGATCTGATTTTTAATGTGGTGTGTCTGGTGTCTAGTGAAATCAAATCCATGTCGCTGCCTTGTGAATATCCTTGTGTGTGTTTGTACACACTGCCTCAAATCACCAAATCACTGAATGTGCAGACATCTGCAAACAGTTCTCCGTTCTCGTTCATCATTTCACTGAGTGCTTCTCGACTGGAGATGGATGAGTTTTCTTCCTGTGTTGTCTGCTCCCAGTTTGGCATTCATGCCACACCACACATTAGAATAAATTTTGATGTCACCATCAGAAATTCGGTCTTGTCCAGTACTGATTACAGTTATCTGTAGAATTCCTCCTTCTTCTCCTGATCGGTATATTATTTGTAGGTGCATAGTGTAACATTATACGATGATGACTTTCCTTCCCTTTGAGTTGAATCTTGCTGTCATGATCCTTATCCTGCAAGTGGAGATTGGTTCCCACCGCATGACAGCCTTTGATGTTCTTGGGAACATCATGAGAGCTACTCCCTCAGTGTGCTCATGGTTGTCGTCTGGGTGACAATATCGGAGTAGATTATTGACTCCAGTTGACAGTTTTGAGTGTCCACTTCCATTCCATCTACTGATTCCCACAGACTTCTAGCACTTCTATGCCATATCTCCTCATCTCTTTTGCAATCTGTGCAGGCTTTCTAAGTTCATATATGGTGCGGATATTCCATGTCCCCATTCCTACTTTTGCTTTCATCGACAGAATGGAAGACACATCGGCCAATTGTCTTCCTGAAGGCTTTCACCAACCGGCTTCATTTGTTCTCTATGATTCCATCGAGGAATAAGTTTGCTTTTATTTTTATAATTTGTTTGTTCTATAGAGTTTCTGTAGCGGTTGTATTGGTTTTACGGTGTAGGGTTGCTAGCCCTATGGCCAAACTTCTGTCTTTATCCGGGCTAAGGACCGGCTAGTATCTAGTGAACTACTTAACCAGGTGAGGTTAGGCCTACCCAGTGAAGCTTATTTTATCGTATTACCAAGGTTGTTTTGAAACCCATTCTTTTTTCCCATCTTTATCTTTCCTAGTATTGAATTACTTTATGTCATATTTGCCATTCCCTCAATTCCAGTTTTCACACATAAATGCGTGATCGAACTGTTTGAAATATGTAGCGTATCTTGGCTGAAAGTCAGTTGTCACTGCCGAAGGTCAAATGTGACTTATCTGTCTCTAAGTACTATTGCACGACTCTTTTGTGTTATACTTTTCCATTAGGCTGGTATTGCCTCACTCCTACGGGCTATATATATATATATATATATATATATATATATATATATATATATATATATATATATATATATATATATATATATATATATATATATATAAGTAAATAGGTTCTACCGAATCTTGGCTGGATGGTAACAACCAACTCCTTTATCTAAGAGTTTATTACAGAAAATAAATAATAAGTTTCTTGATAA